CGGGCTGGGGACTCGAACCCGCCACCTTAGGTGTACGTGGCTGGCGCCTTAGCCGGTTGAGCTATAGGCGCCGAGCCAGGCTATTTTTAAGACGGGATCTTGGTCTTGCTCAGGCTGGAGCTCAGGCAATCCACCTGCTTCGGCCTCCCAGAGTGCTGGGAGTACAAACGTGAGCCACTGTGCCCGGCCTCAAATTAATACTTTTTAAAAACACTTTATGTTGAATCTCAAGTTTAGTAGTATTTCGTAAATTATTGAAAACTCAATTTTTACTTAATATAAACTATAAACTATACTAGAATGGAAAGAGCATTGTTCTCAAATAGATATATCAACAAATAACTTGTCAAATGAATATTTACACAACAGTTCTTTTCTTACTAATGAGATTCAATTAATACCATTTGAAAGTATGGTAATAGTTATACCAGTATTCTATAAGTATATTGAATATGCTATATACTGTGCCTTTACCGAATCAGAAGTGTTTATTATTTTTATTTCTTTAGATCTCACCTAACATGGCATAATAAGCATCTTTCCATGTAGCTATGTGATCTTTGTCATTGAAACTTTTACTGACTTTTTAACACACACATTAAAGCTCAACATTCAGGCTATTTCCCATTTTTTACCAGTATGAATAATAATACAGATAAGCATTGTTAGGCAGTCAGCTCTGTGTTCTGCTTATATAATATTTATTAACATTTAAACTACAAGTAGGATAGCTGGATTGATTCAACATTTTTATGGCTCTTGCTTTATGTAACCAAATCATTTTATGATGTCAGTATAGAATTGCTTAAAGCCATTCCAGCACTGAGGTTTTATTGAAATATATTTCTGAACATGATAATCAGTCATTTAAAATAGGGCATCTTTTAACAAACCATGATAAATTGATGCAATTGAATTTAGTTAATTATTTATGAGTGGTTTTCCTCTTAAGAATTTCTGCTGAAAGGAATGTCAACCCATGATATATTTTAGATCAGTGTCTCACTCAGGTTACTATAGGCTATACAGAAAACGTAATTTTCATTTTAATATAGAAGATAATTATTGATAGTTCTTATCTGTAGCCCTAATTTAAACAGCCTTAGCTATGTTACTAAAGCTCTGCATGCTGAGACAGTGACAGTATATTAGGAGTATAGAAAAACAGTAAAGGACAGTGTGGCTGCCATTTGCATTTATATTATAACTATGTCAACTACCCATGATTAAGATTTATAACCATTCAGCCAGGTAAAGTAGCTCACTCCTGTAATCCTAGTACTTGGCGTGGATGGCCAAGGCAGGATCACTTGAGCCCAGGAGTTTGAGACTAGCCAGATCAAGAACAAGACCCTATCTCTACTAAAAATAGAAAAATTAGCCAAGTGTTAATTAGCCAAGTGGGCACCTATAATCCTATCTACTTGGGAGGCTAAGGCAGGAGGATCACTTGAACCCAGAAGTTTGAGGTTGCTGTAAGCTAGGCTGATGCCATGGACCTCTAGCTTAGGCAACAGAAAAAGAAATAGATTTGTAACCATTCAAATTGGAGAGTATATTTTCCTTCTCTCCAGATTATTTAGCATAATACCATATAAGGTCATCTCAGACACAAGGGCACTTTTAGCTCCCATTTCTTTTTTTTTGAGACAGAGCCTCAAGCTATCCTCCTGGGTAGAGTGCCATGGCATCACGCTCACAGCAACCTGCAACTCCTGGGCTCAAGTGAGTCTCCTGCCTCAGCCTCCTAAGTAGCTGGGACTACAGGCGCCTGCCACAACGCCTGGCCTTTTTTTTGGTTGCAGCCATCATTGTTGTTTGGTGGGCTCGGGCTGGGGATTCGAACCCGCCACCTTAGGTGTATGTGGCTGGTGCCTTAGCCGCTTGAGCCACAGGCGCAGAGCCAGCTCCCATTTCAATTATTTAGCTTCATGCTTGATTCTAGCATGAAGCCAGGACTGAGTCATCTCCAGTCTAAGGTTCTAGTTCCAGTATATTCTAGGATAGGGCAACACTTTTGTTTTGCTTCTTTTTCCAGTGAGACCAAAAGAACTTTGTAAAGAAATCAGATTAGAAAATATTAAAAATTTTAAAACAGATCTAAAATTCTGGATAGTCCATAAATAACATTAAAACCGTCTCTAAGGTCAATTTGGTTCTAAGATAGCCCTGAGGATGAATATTTTTCTGGTCAGCATCTAGGAAGACTTATGTGATCTAGAGTGTTCCTAGGAAATTTAGCTCCCCTGGAGCCCATTTCTGGGTAAGAGAAATAACCTCATCGGGGTATCTGATTTGACTCCACTGTTGGCCGAATTCTTCAGCAACCACAAATCCAAACTAACTTCCAGTGGTAGAATGTCATACATCTTAGCATCTAATTCACTTTTTTCTATCTTCCTTCAAAAGACTTGACAGAACTATTTCCTAACTTAGGTAAAATGATATCTAAATATCTCAGGTCCATTTTAAAAATATAATCAGTGATACAACACCTTAATTCTATTTATTATGTTTATCAACATAATTGCAGTTTTTTTTTTTTTTTTTTTTTTTTTTTTTGGTGCAGTTGTCATTGTGTAGCTGGCCCAGACCAGGTTCGAACCCACCAGCCCTGGTGTATGTGGC